TTGTTAGTGTGCACCACAACCTTGTGTGCATCATTCACAAAAATGGCATAAGAGTGCGCCAACAGCATAGTTCAATGCATTTGTTGCTACCACAATAAGGAATAAGGTCTAATCGTTTTTTAGAAAGAGATCAGAACTGAGCATAGTCTTTAGTTTGTTGAAAGTATTACTGTATTTGGCATCATTCTACAAATGACAGCTGGTGTGAGCGCGGAAATTGAGTGCAACATAATAGCTCACCGATCCTAATAAGGTTTCCGACCCCTCGCCTCTATGACAAATCCATGGTCGGCGATGAGTTTGGGGCCGAATCAGTATTCGTCAGCTCCAATAAGGAAGCCATAGTCCTGGATGCGCTGGAATAGGGTAGTAAGGCTTTATCCTAGTACCTCGGGCTTGCAACTTATGACAATAATATCCTTCAAATGTACCAAAGTGTCTGGAGGGTCTGCTATTAATATTATTATTATTAACAATTATCTGTTGAAATATTCCCGGAGTTGGATTCACACCAAGCGGTAATATGATATATTAACGATGCCGTGGTGGGTATTTATGGTTAGCAGTTCTCAGGGATACAGTATCATTTCAAATTTTGTGAACAACTTTCCCTTCATTGAGGGACACGAAAATTTCCTTTGGAAGAAGGGAATGCTAGAGGTTCAATTCAACGGGTGCTTTTAAGCCGCGTGAGAAACCTGCACATTTATATAGAGCTTCAGATGATTTTTTACTCATTGAAATGGATACTGCTTAAAACGAGAATTTCACACCGGCTCTTCCATATGTTGTAACTAGCAATATATAAGGGAAAAGGTCGCGTATGGAAAGGTTCGCTTCGGTTAGAAATGGGTATCCACCCAGGGATAAGTATGCATGCTCCTACCAAGCCCTTCTAGAAAGACAGTTGGATATTTTCGACACAATAACCTTGTTTTAATCACCGGGTGACGTTTGGATGGACAGCTCTTTCAGAGCCAGTCCGTTGAAGAATCAATGCTATGATGCAACGTTTTTGTAAGTGGATTGGAAGCTACTAACCGCAACAAACATGACTTGATAGTCTTTCTAGAATGTTTCATAATAAGTACTATGTGAATGACTGGACAAAGTTTTCCTGGAAGCACACGACCGGTTTCGCAGTCCTTGCCGCCCCTCAGGCAGTTGGATATTATCGAACAAGATCAATATTCGCTCTGTAAGAGATGTTACGGTGTTATCTAGCCCGTCATATGATCCAAAACGCTCAACTCAGTCGAGACCAACCAGATTGGAATTGCAGCGGGATAAATAGCGTTTGCTTTGGATAATGGCGTTACGAGCACGGAGCACTGAAGAATTTCAAACTGGAAAGCTTCATAAGTTCTGATTTCAGTGGTGCTGGTAACCATGTGCTTATGGCGGAGTTAAGTCACCATCACCATCATCGCACAGCGAGACACAGTGGAACGAACTTCACCGATCGTTGTCCAGCTCACAACAAACGCAAATCAAGCGATAAAGCACATGATGGACAGGGATTGTGCCTAATTGGAGGGAAGCAAAGAAAGTGAACCTCTAAGATCAGCGCACAGAGTACACAATCTAAGTGTGCATACATACCTTTTCAAACATTCTGACCTGATAAGAAATGACAACAAGAACTACACTGCTGTCAGTTAGCTGCCATATCCTTCAATGTCTCCAACCAGTCAGTTTCCAAGTCTTTTGGACCCCAACCTAGAAGACTGGAGACACCTATTCTGCCAAATTACTCTGTGCATTTCTTTAAGCCTTGTTTCCACGTAATCTGTTGATCCCCGTGTGTCCTCTTCCACCTGGAGACGATACCCAGTCTTATAGCATCACTTTGCACTTTGAAGGTGCAAAGCGCATACTAATCAGAGCTAAAGAGCTTGAAAGTCTGTCAAGAGCGCTTGTGCATCCTCCATACATTCGAATAGACAAAAGATATCGTCAGCGCACTCTAAATCGCACAGATTTTCTCACGGATTTAAGTAGAGTTTGCAATTACCTCATTCCGGTCATCCGGACATTGACCGTCAAATTTTGTCGTTCATGAAACAGTTGGATTCGAGTTTCACGCATAAAATAGTTCATTGTTTTTTTTACTGTGATGTATACAATCATCTATAAAATGCTACTCATCCAGCGGATCGTTTACATTCCCAACTGAAATATAGGCAAAAATTAACGCAATGAAAACTGCTTGATTACGTCTACACATTTGTTCAATCTTCATCAGTAGCTACTAGTAAGTAGTGTGCTTCTAAATGCAATAACTTTGACCGTATACCACACCACACCCATGTGGTAAAGTAACGGTTCAAATTATTAAAAAAGTTCTACTAAAACCATAAGGAATCAAATGCAGATGTTTCTACTTAGCATGCAAAATGTTGTTAAATCCTTGCACTCGCTTGAGACTGTGGTTCAATGGATTTCACAAATACCGTGTTCTTGCCTGAGCCGTAATAGTTCAATTTACAGAAATGCGGGACGACCAGCTAAACACGGAGCTCATAAAATGCAATTCAATAATGACAATCACCACCCCCATAACCAAATATTTTCAGATTTTCCTGAACTTTGGCTTCTGTTATAGTCCTTTCTCTTGCCTATCTACGTGCTCGTCATTGTCACTCTTGGAGCTAAATGTGATCTGGTTTTGTCTACACAGTTGATGACATGACCACGATATATTCGAAATCAACACACATTGTGAGCTGGCTGCTTTTTCTTACTTTTATAAAGGGACTTTTATATAGATTATACATAATAATCATGATAATAATAATATATGATGACATATAGGAAACACAACGAGAACTATCTTTCCGTTAACAGTGATTGTACAAAGCAGCTGAGAAGCAAACTAACCAAACATTGGAACCTCCTCGAGAAGGTTAACTCCGTGATGAATAATACGGACGAATGAAACCCATCGAATTTCCGATACTCTGTTTGTATGAAACACCTAGGATTCACAATCCCCTTTAGCATTACTAGCCCTCTTCGCGGCTACAACATCCGACCCAAACTTCACCTCGAACTGTAACCTCACAAAGAACGCTTTCCGGCTACCACGCTTAACTCTCCCTAACACACAATAAAAGGTCCTACGGTATTCCTCGAACTATGCGAAATGATGGTGGCCTCACTGTTCCTCAACATGCCAAAACATATGACTACTGAACGTATTCGACGCCTGTTGGAAAATGACCAAACTCTACAATTAAAAATAACTGTTTTTTAACAAACAAGTGATTATGGAGTTTTATACGAAAATATACTTTCATTTCAACAGAAAAGTGTATCCGCGTACATGAGGGACTTCCATGGGGTCACCACTCTTAGGCTTACTAACAGAGGCGGGTTTGAAGAAATAGGAAGGCAGTGTATTGAAAGTCCTAAACTTTATCAGAAGACGTACCGTACACACATACCGAAGGCCGGAGACAAAGTAATCCTATTCATTCATTTCGCTTACGATTAATTACAGTTTAACTTTAAATCGAAACTTTAAAACTCACTACTGACCTCTTTTCTCTCTTGAAATATACATGTAATATTAGTCTGATTTTATAATGTGTTAACCAATGTGCATTCAGTATTTATATTTTGAAACTTTTCAAAAAGTGGACGTTTTCAAATAAAGCTAGTGTCTTAAGTAAACACAGAAAGTTATCGTTCATTTGAAAGTCTTCAACTTAATAATTTATAACTTTTCCCTGATTTTTATCAAGACCGAATCACAGAATCACATTGCTGAAGTATTGAATGAGCTNTTGTTCAAAATTTGATGGTTGATTAATAGCCATCAGTTTTTCTGTTGCTGACAGCAAAAACCAAGATGATTGCGCAATTTCAACAGTTTGAGTGTACCCAAGACAGCCGTGAGAGGGTGAGTAGGTGAGCGGAGCTGAGTGGAGAAAGGTCACATTAATTAGTACACCAAAGGTTCTTCCCGCACAATTCCTCGACTCTCCGCCTCGTATAAATGACCTTAAGTTGAGCCTATGGCTGTCATTAGATAAACATCCGAAAACAATTCTTTGCTCACCGACTCGTTTTCTGAATTGTGTGATTATTTTTACAGGTATTTATAAAAGATCTTAAGCCAAAGTTTTTCACATCACTTACCACATCCAAGTGATCCAGCAATACTCTCCGTCCTTCTGGAGTTTCTGATAAACAAGTAATTACCTGAAATCGATGTGAGAAATTTGGTTCAGCAAGTCATATTCAGAAAATTTTCACTGATGCAAAAAAAACTATCATGACACTCCAAAAAACATGATACAACCACTAATGTTGGACCATAGAATTGAGCTGTTGTATGGGTTCACGGAAACCATTTTGATCTTCCCCATGTTAGGCGATGAATTTTCTCTCACCAATTTTCTTCTATCCTTTCCCATAACTTTCTGTCACTTACATCCAAACTCACAAGTACACTATGCGTGTTGTTTGAAATCATCGTGTGCCCGGTAAATCAGTCATCATCCTGCCCGACTCACACTCATTTGTGTACGTGGCTCAAATAGTAATCAATTAATCAGATGTGCGATGCTGTTGATCGTGAACAATCTTTTGATGCGTAGATATAAGGAGATTCCGGGATAACAAATTGTTTTACTGTTTGCCAACTGCTTGTAATTTTGATTCCTTTCTGGCCTTTTTTATCAGGAGGCAATTCCGCTTAGTGCATTCTTTATTCAGAATCATACTTCGATTGACATTATCCTAATACGTACTTGAACTCCTCTTATTCGTGTACAAACCACCTAAACTTTTATACAATTTCGAGCCAACGTAACTATGTTTACAACTTCGATGTTTCTTGCCACTCTAGTCGTCGGCTATTGCTCCTAAATAATGTCTATCGGAGGTTATAAAGGGACTGACTGTTGGAACTGCAAAAATAAGTTAAAGCAAAAAAAGATTAAAAGTGATTTTTTTTCTAACCAGTGTGCTACTGGGAATATCCTGGTCTCGAGCTATGATAACACAAAATCCCTATTTTGCTTACTTACCTTTAGTGAGTTAACCCGAACCCGACTGTTTGGATGGTCCACTAAATTGAGAAGATGCGGTATGGCACCCGCATTCAGAGCGGTATAACGTCCGTGAGTGGTAGTGCAGATACTGTGTAGGAGTGGAGGAAAGTTAGAGGTAATCAGTTATCATAACAGATATGTTTTGGTAGTTTTTCATTTGTTTTCAAAAGACTGTCTACATCATGACAGCCTTCTTTCTATCGTGCAGCAGGAATGGTACTCTTTTTAGGTAGCACATGTTCTGGCATTATTTTGCTTCACGTGAGCCTGGTTTCAGACTGACTAGGACACGGATCATCAGGCCAGAGTGTTCAAGGGATTGGGAAATTCAAACGGATAAGTGTGCATGGGATAGAAGTAAAAGGTAACTAATTGTACGACAGTGTCTTTGCACTGTTTGCAAACCAAACCAAATTCCTAGGAATCTCGGACACTTACCATGGTTGTTTGGTGCTAAAGTTGCTTCGTTTCATCTCTTCTGTGCATCCGTTATTCTTCATATTTGCTTAGATTGACGGTTTTCAAATTGTTTACCAATTTCTACTGATTCACAGCTCAGACCCTTAGCTGTAGTTAATGTGATGGTGGTGGTAGTTGTAGTTTGGCCATCTTTTGGGTACAGCTTTATGAGCGCCTGTTGACATTAGTACTTTAAACTCCATGTACGATCCAGTAAACAGTCAGGCTAGATTAATTGAAAGAAGAGCTACACGGCTAACAAGCTTGCTTTTAGTGTTTCATCTGCTGGTCGATTGCAGTCCATTTTCTGATTTAGGAAACAATGAAAGGAGATGCGAAATGAAGTTGTTGTTGTTTTTAAAATTTGGGTTGATTTGGGACGGGCGTGTTCTAATACTGACCCCCTAATTGATGAAAATTACTCATAACTCGTAGGTTTTTAACCTTCATTATTCGGTGCGGATACTTCGGATACGTGACCGCGGATGTATGGAATCCCATTTTTTTGCGCTCACAGTGGTTGTTCAATCTAATTACCATTGTCTCTGCTGCAGATCACAACCTGGCATTGAAATACTTAGATCGGATTGGACAGACGTACTCGCACCGCAAATCAACAGCAGGGTTCGAATCGGTTAGGTGTATAACAGCTACGCTGGAACTTTCCCTTATCGGTATTTGAATGAGCCAAGCAGAGTGATGTTCTGTGATTCTATCGATCAGGGACCTGATGGTGCAACAAACATGGAACTTTCGCTACGTGATTAGGAAAACTGGTAAACACAGTTAGGCGTAATCTCTATCGATAGTCTGTCCTTTATCGGTCATGGAAGAACTGATTTAGAAGAGAAGAACAGGAGCAATTCGGTTGAAACAAAAATATTTGCCACAACATTCTTCAATAGCTTGTTCATCGTCCCTTGGCAAACACATTATCATTGTTATTTAAACCTTTTTCATGATCTTTGAGTCTGTAACTTTTACAGTGTTGACTGTCATTCAATAATCGGTAAGGTTCTCTGGAACGTTCAATGAACTGTTGCAAGTTCATCGTTCAATATGTCACTAGAACAAAGCTTTCCTATGCGCTTAGTGAAGCTTCTTTTAATCCCCATTAGGACACAGCCATAACAGTTGTCTTCACTAATTTTTCATTCTATACATTTCAATATTGTTAGGGCTCTTCTCATAGAGTGACAAAAAAAAGACCAGAAAACAATCACTCTCGCGGACTTATTGTCTAACGTGAAAGCATGAGTAATTTGATCCAATGCGGTTAAAGGATTGTTACAGTTATAAATAAGACAAAAATGGTATAAACTAATGTCTGGATACTACCCTGCGGAAACAGATAACACTTTCAAATTTTGCCAACAGACAGCGTAATGGTAAGCCCAGAATTATTCCATCGTTTTGAATGTGCGAGCAATCGTTGAACTGAAATTGGACGTTAAATGTAAATGGGAGAAAGATCTTTCTTAGGTAATCGGATCGAATCCCCATATTATAATCATCTCTTTCTATGCAGTCTCAAAATTGATCAGTTTTTTTCATTCAGGAAGGACATTCATAAATGACGAATATATGCCCTTTTGTCGCAACTGTTGATTCTAAAAGGGTAGTAAATTCTACTTGTTAAGCCGAATTGCACATGCCCCAAATGGGTCTATGCATTTGGATTGATGAGTAAAATTATATGAATTAAATATTAAGCTTGATAATTCATCTCCAGCTTATTATTTATTTATTTTCACACATGCCTGAGTTTAGACTGTATGCCAAACAAATATCCGTAAAGTTATCTTTATAAAAAGGGAAAAAAGGTGCAGTTTAATGCATCAATTTAAAATGATCGTCACTAATGGCTCCTAATGATCGGTTGGTGGACTTGCACTAGGCAATGCCAAGAAAAGGTGACCTTCGGAAGGATGTGTACTATTCAGGATAGCCATGTAAAATCGAGGCCATCCCGGGTTAACTATTAGCTTAGAAATGCGTCATGTATATGAAATTTATAGCAAAATTTACAAAAACCTTTGATGGTAACTATATAAGGTATTTTCAGGTTATATTTCATCAGTTAAAAGCATAACAATCTTCATTCGTGCAAGCGGTCACCAAATATAATATTTTCGCTTCAATGAACTCACAAAGCTAGTGCACCGGCCGCGGAAGCCATTGCTTTATCTGAATCTCCGGTAAGTATACCAACCAGAGCCGGTATAGTTTCATCATCCAACGCCTTCTGTTTGCCCAGGGGGTCTACACTAATGAGAGGTTCAAAAGGAGACAAGTGAGAGTAGTATACAATTTTCCCATTCATGTTTCATACCAAAGACGCAGAATATTTTGTGCAGCTCGGTATCGAACCTCCGAACTCTCATAACCCAAAAGTTTGGTGAACAGAGCCACACCTTCTGCATCCAACCCCTTCTGGGTGTTCACACTCAGGCAACGATTCAACGTATCCATTACAAATAACTGAAAGACAAGAGGAAAACCAAAAGCGTTAAAAATAGCATTATTCACAGGTACCTTAATTTCAACGTTTTCTTCCCGTGCACAGTCAATCAACAATGGTACATAACCGTACTCGACAATCTGTTCCGCTCCAGAGGGAGAAGTGGACAACAGTTCGATTGCCTTGTGTGCATTCAGTCTGACAATGTCCTCCTCGGTCATTTTGATAAGCTTGAAGAAACTGGAGAGTATGTCGTTTTCCAAAAAGGCCATGCGCCCCAACTCATGTTCTAGTAAATTACACATATTACACATTTATCATGTGGTAATATACTCACGACAGAGAACCACGAAACACTCGGTTGCATACGCTCTACAAGGTACATCTGGATCGCTGAGCAATTTGTCCAGAGATCTGATGATTCCTGGACAGAAAAGAGAAAGCAGGAATCACCATGCAGGAGAAAGATGGTTGACTTTTCGATGTAACTGAATTTAATCAGTCTCACCTTCTTTGACCGCCTCGGCAATGTGCTCGTGGTCGTGCAAATAGTCACACAAAGCTTTGACAGCTCGTTGACGAATCAACAATTCGGAATCGCCGAGCTCACGGTTCTGTAAAAAGGGGTTGGGTAAACGGGAAACGGATGTGGAATCAAAACCGGCGCACAATGAATTTGATATTTGAGATGAAGGACGGATAAGCTTTGACGCAATAGGCTTAACAGTAATACATTTCTGACATAATTTGGAATATACTCATGAAAACACGAAACCTCCCATAATGATTGACTGAAACATATACTTATTGAATGGGATTGTGCCAAACGGATCAAGCGAAGCAGGAATATTCAAGAAGTGAAAAGGGTAAACAGTTTTATAGCTAAGGAGTAAATAATTCCAAAAACCCTCGTGGGTTTAAACGATTTCAATTATTTTTGTGTGTATCCATCGCAGGTTATTTTGAGGTTAGAAAAGATTTTTTGTCAGAGCGTAGGAAATGCGCAAAATTCGGTACAGATTTGCTTCCATATTAAAGAAATAGCTATTTTATTAGAGATTCCCGAAAATCAAAATGAACATATTGATTGAATTGGCTAATAAGATAACTGAGAGTTTATTAGAATCACCACACGGGATTTTAGCCAAATATCTGTTTCCTGTAACTGGCCTTAACTTTGAAATTTTCGCAAGGGTCTCCCTCCCACCCAACGCTTAACTGATCATGAAATGTAGCACCAATTTATGGATTCAGGAAACCGCAGCTGTTCTCAAACAGTACCAACTTTTCAGTTTACATACTTTTATCCCCATTACCTGGTATTCATCTCGTTCGCGAATATGAACGAAGTTTGTTTCCTCTGTACATGAAGCACTAAATGTTGGTTAGAGATTGCAGTCTAATCACGTTCTGTTAATGCAATACACTTTCATATGTTCGAAGCTCCTCCGCGTTCTTAATTGTCTACAGATAACAAGTAGAAGAGAAACGAAATCGTCTGTACTCATAAAATAACCCACATTACTAAGTTGGTCGGTGTCCCGGTCCAAGCAACTCAAAAATAATTTGCTCATAAATTTTTACACTCTTTTAGAATTTTAAAGGCGGAATGTCATAGTGTATCGATTGGCTTTGCGTTTTTTTGGTCTAACTATTGCACTGGAAAATTGACGACTTGCTGATAGTAAAGGGATCATTATGAAGAAAGTTGTGTAATTGTGATGACGCAGTTCAGGACGGCACGGGATCTAGACAATACTAAAGCCAGATAACACGATTCAATGACGTACAGGAAGCTATCAATTTCAAAATACGATATATCTTGTTGATTTAGATAGACAATTTCTTCCATACGGGAGAAAGGACATGAAAAACTAAAAGCGTACCATATCTGATGTGTTACACGATTTATTTCTGGCGGAAACAAATAACACCAACACGCATGCACAGATAAAGGTTTCGGGGAGACTATGCAGCAGCCTTGGTATCAGTAATTAACTAAAGATGCCACGGTGGTTAGCAGGAGTTTAGGTGCCGTCTTCAGTTGTGTAATTAAGAGANGACTGCCTAAAAATTCAGCAAATAGCATCCCGAAACAGTAAGGAGACAAAATCGTCATCATGTAATATAACTCTTGATTTGACTAGTATTGTTTTATTTTTCGATCGAAAGGCTTTCATTTATCGCAAAAAGTGTGCATAAGTCTATATGAAGACAATAATAGTAGCGGAGTACTAAGAGAGTATCTACAAGGAAAGACGGAAATTAAGGAGCGAAACATCAGCTACATATGTGCCTCATCGACGCCCCCGTAGCCAATTTGTAGCTTATTGTAACCGGTTAGCATCGCGTTATTAGCTTTTGACTTTCTATCTAAGAGGGTCCCTATTAGAGACAAGGGTTTCAAACGATATGGCAACCATGCAAGTGGTAAATACCGAAGAAGTTAAAGACTTGGGAATCGTTATGCGTGGCTCACTTTAGCCCACATAACAGTGCAAGATAACGGCAGGTAAGACTGCAGCTCCGCCTCCCCTACATAAAGCATTGGTGTAGTTCCACCTGGAATTCTGCATTTAGGCATGGGCACAGAGCCTGGTGCAGAGCAAAAAGGCTCTTGAGGATGTACAAGGACAGTTCTCTATGTTGTCCCAAGCTCCAGTATTTGCGGCGTCTTAGAGCTAAATTTATTCATCCTTTCTCGCAGAAGAATGAGAGTGGAGTAGAGTAGAGATGTCTTTAGGATACCGAACGGTTTGTCACAACCTTGCAGGCAACTTTTTACCTCAGTGAGAACCCAGTTATAAAAGGCCACTGCACGAGGCCTACTCGTGCAGTAAATAGATGAGAAAATTCTTGTCTCACAGAATGATCAACGCTTGAAATAGACTACCAAATGGACCTGTCTTTGGGTGCCGTAAACAGGGATATCTCAACTTTTCTGGAACCCTAGTCCACTGAAATTTTCCATTTTCTCTTTTACTTTAATTTAAACTTTCCTCTCTTTCTCATAATACGTCATCCTAATGAGCAGCCAAAAGACAGCAACCAAAACCTGCGCACAAAAGTACATAGATAGCGGTTGTACAAATTGAAACTGAAACTGTTGTCTCGGAACCATACTTGACCGTTATAAAGAAGGCTTTGTGTGGTATGGGACTTACTTTCCCCGATTCATTCTAACCAAAAAGCAAGGGGGTCCTTTGAGGTAGCTCATTCTTCCTCTCTCATTTGTTATTAATTTTATTACCCATCTGGACTACTATACTGTCTTCCTCCGCAGGTCATGTGAACTGTCGTGACCTAACTTGGGCCCCGTTACCACCACGACGCATATTTCCCTCCCAGTTCGCTCTACCATTATCACGTTGTGCTTCTAATTCACTTTTGATTTTCTGCTTCACTGAATAACCATATTCTTTAAAGTTTTACATGTTAAAAACTGACACCACTTACCGAATAAGTATTTTTAGGGAGTATGATAAAAAACGCGCCACGTGGCTGGTGTACATTTATGTACAGTTCGAATCTTTTGCAACAATTTTCACGTTAATGTTCGTCAAATAACTCGTATTTCTAGGCAGTATTTTTGCGTAAGCAAAAGTAGGGTAATCAAAACACCGTTTTAAAAATGAGATGCTCGTGATGGTTGCCTGCAGTGACTATCAGGATTTATTAATTTTAGACTTGATTATGTGGTTATAACCACATTCGATTATATAAGGTATTATGTACTCATGTTTATTTGGTTAATTCAATGATTATCAATAACTGTAGTTGTCGGAGGTTATACCTTTCAATTACGAATTTTTGGGTAAAAATAGAGCGAAGATGAAATGGCGTTCTTTGACAATTTCCAATAAACTGGAAACACCAACTAAGTATCTAATGACATTTCTGCAAACGTTTGAATTGTTCAAAGGTTGGATACTAAAACAGGTCGGTGTGTTTTTCACGGAGACCTAAACAAAATGATAGACTTTAATCAATTTGCCAAAACCTGTTGTCAAGCAGTGTAACTGGCATTATTGAGCAAATTGATGACTCTAAAGGCTTCTTTGTTGAGATATCCCACTCTCTCGCTGTGGGTTACAAGTTATCCGCGAGTAACTGTAGCAAGCTGCTGAGATATCTTTGACAGCAATTCTCACATCTACCCAGAAATCACGGTACTCCAAATTGGACAAGTCTATTACTTGCCAACGTATTGCAAGATTGCATGCGTATTTCTGTGAAAAGTTAATCATCTTTATTTCCTTTTAAAGCTTGGCACTACCTATTTATCGTGAAGATACCTCCGGACCTCGGATATTTAGCAGTCCTGTGAATAAATTTGGGACTAGTAAGCACTTTTTAACAACCTAAAACAACTTGTCCCAAATTAGTGGGCCAATTGTTGTACATCCTACTGTCCATAGAGTTCATTTAGCGGCAGCTATATGAGATGCGTTCTCAGATTAATGCTCTGTTGAATTAGAGATTATACTGTCACCGCCAGGTTACCGTTTGCAAACTTGAAAGTCCTTGATGCTTTGTCACAAGAGCTGGAGAAAGCAGAGACGTACAGCAGCTATTTTATTTCTTTTGCAAGATGTTAATCACGGTGTTACGTTTACAGGAGACTCAGTTAATAAATGTCTCTGGGTTCTAGTTTGATGAGCTTTTGGCAAAACGTGGGGTCATAATCTGAACTGGAATGAAATTTGGGGTAAAAGGTGTCACGAACGTCGTCCATCACGTGTAGTAACATTATTTTCACTTTTTAACACCATTTTCCTGATTCATGTAGAGGCCCCATTTCGTTTTATTGCCCACTATAACGAGATCCTATATGACCTCGAATATGGCACAACTGCTGGTGAGTTGTATCGTGCGTTTGGCTCTCTGTACACCTTTTCGATGCAGGTCACATTATACTATTAACTCTCGCACCCGACTTTGTTTTCAATCCGGTTTATCCCTGGGAAACCTCGTGATACATTCGATCGATAGAAGTGGTGAACGCGTCGTTGCTTAGCCCATCCTAGGTTCTATACACGGAAGCCATCTTGAGTAATCCATTCAAGTATGGTCTTTTTGTTTATTGCATTTATATATATATATATACGTGAGATGGGTATAGGTACTTATATATCCACATAAAAACTATCCAAATATGTACAGTGAAGCAAACAAAGAATTATTTTTGCTATTCGCTATAACTCTTTGACTCTTTTTAATTCTGCTTTGTATTCCAACCCCCACCCACGGGGTTTTTGACGCCAAACTTGTTTGCAAGTCTTATATATATATATATATATATATATATATATATATATATATATATATAAAGTTATTGCACGTTTTCATGAAGTGCATCCATATGGTCATATACATCTGTGTAACTTATTTTATTCAAGCGTCCTAGTCGTGATGTTAGGGTTATATTTTTATTTGTAACCGTACTTAGATGAACGTATCATTTGTATATATACATTCAAGTTTTGAAAAATGCATAATGCCACTCAGCAAAAGCAGTTAATTTTTGAAAAAACTTCATTAATTACAGAGACGATTTATCAGAATTGGTTGTTGGACTTCAATCTTGATCATGGGGTAAAACTGTTCAAGCAGTTCATCCACAAAAGCTACAAAAGATGTCGTGCTGTTCGGAGGAATCCAAACACACGGCAGCACCGGCTTGCTCGAGAAGAAAGAAGAAAGAGACTTCCTCAGAGTATTTGCTGTCAATGGCTACACCCGTAACTTTATCAAAAGAACTCTGACTCTAAGAAGGAAACAAACAACAGACGGAGAATCGGGAACCTTGCCGTACATGAAGTTTATTTCAGGAATGAAAGAAAAACTGCTCAGATCATGTGAAATCCAAGTCTCCTATAGACCGATCACCTGTCTTAGGAGACTCCTGTCAAAACCAAAGAGAATAATGGAGAAGGACAAGAGAATGTCTGTCTTTAAGATAAACTGCAAGAATTGCACAAAACATTATCGGAAATGCTGGAGGAAAACTATTAACCAGAATCCGTGAATATCAATCCGTAGTCATCATTTCCTTCTATTAAGAACAAGAAGGACATAAATTTGACTTCAAATCAGAGAAATTAATAGATCAAACCCGTTCAAAACACGCCAGAGAACTTCTCCAGTTTTAGCACTCTTCAATCGACTCAATTAGCAGGCACATTGAATTGGATCATGCATAAACTCTAATGCAACCCAAGGATCAAAAGACGCAACAAAAATGTCACGTCATGACCTGAGAATGGATCAAAACCGCAATATATATGTAATCACATTTATGATGATCATCATATATATATATACATATATCCCAGGCAGCACAGAGGTTAACTTGGCCGTTCGTTGAGTATCCGAAACCGCAATTAATCATTCACTCAAAACAAATATGACTTTTAGTCATTTAAAGCAACTTATCTCCCAAAATGTTTATATTATAGTAAAATATATTTTATTATACTATATTATATAATTTATAAATCCATACCCATTTAGCACATAGCACAAACGTCACCGCTGAGTCACCTGAGAGTCAACAAAACGACGTGCAGCAAACAAACAAAAACATTGTTATTCCCCCGAGTTGGTTGTTTTGTTTTCCCCGCCTCTGCAATTATATTTTTGTCATCACATGAGTATTTTGGCGCAGTATCAGTAAAGATTAGTGTTATATATAAATATATATATATATATGTACAAGAGTCACCAAAATCATCTGATCGTACCCCTCCTAACAAGCCTCCATATATGTAGATCATAAGTTTCCAAGTGCCAAACGCAATGTAAGTCACCCGTATTAGCCCCATAACAGTATACTCCACAGGGTTGATTATATGTTGAAACCCGCCCAGTACTCCTGCACAAGTCTATTGAGTTTCATTTTAACTGTGTCATTATTTGACTCTTCTACCACATCCTCCGTTAACGCATTCCAGAGATTTTTCACCCTCCTTTACAGACGATAAACCAGTGTTAAACCATTTGACTGCATCTTTCGGAGCATTTGTGCGTGTACCATGATGCGGCTGTTGTTCCTCATGGGAATGTAGAATACAGTTCCGGGTAAAAGTCACCCGAATGATTCGTCTAGTGTATATCAGGTCTCCTCTCAGTCATCTGTGTGCCATGGGAAACAACCTCGTTACTATTAGTCTATCTTCTAAATTTATCCCACGTAGTCCAACGGCGAGACAGCCCGTTGAATTCTCTCATTCGGGCAACCTCAAAAGCGGTAAAAGGAAAGACCGCCGAACTACCATATTCCAATCTAGAGCGTACATGGGAGGCAAAAATCAACCTGAAAACCGTCAGGGGTAAGGCATCAACCGAACGGCGGATAGCAGCTAAAATGCTCCACACTGAAGCCTAAAACCTTTCTGTAGGCTCACGAGGTTTTAGGTTGCTAGTAGTGACAACACCCAAATCTCATTCTCCAGATGGTCGTTGGAGCACGTTACTCCCAAAGCAGTAGCTGGTAGTAAAACCATGTCTTCCAGTTCCTAGTTGAGATGTTCACTAGTAACCCCGACATACTCGGCCAGTCTAGAGTGGCATTCAGGTCCTCTTGAAGAGATTTCTGATCCGCTTCTGATCGGATTGCTCGCCAGAGCTTGAAGTTGTCAGCGTAGATTAGGCACGAGCTACTCGACGTTGATGGTATGTTGTTCGCAAGGGCCAGAAACAGCAGTAGACCAAGAACGAAGCCTCGGGGAATAACACTGATGAGTAAATACCACGCGAATCGCATCTAAAACACTCTCACCCTGAAGAACATTCCTTTCAGAAAATCCTCTAACCAGCAAAGTAACGGCCTTGGGATTCCCAAAGCCCTGAGTTTAGCAATTAGTCTTTCATGGAGTACTTTGTCGAACGCCTTAATGAAATCAAGGAAGTTGACGACCGTGCCGTATACCTCGTTCTTGCCTCTAGACCAACATTCATGGGTGAGCAACAAATTGGTCGTGCAGGAACGCTTCTCGCAGAATTCATGTAGCTCGTTGCACATCAACTGGTGTCGCTTGAGGTATTCCGTTGGGTGTAAAACCACTAGTTGTTCTAACGCTTCTCCTTGTAAATCGACGCAACAACCGCTTTCTTCGACTTTGCGGACAGTGTTCCGGATAGGTTGGGTAACCACGTAAGTTATGGGAGGATGTGCACTGCAAGTCCCTTGAACATAATGGGATCCCGTCATTAGGAACACCATCCGGGCCTGGTGATTGTCACGTCTTGATGGATTAAAGCACCATTGTTACCTCTGCTTCTGAAAACTTTTCGAATATATATGAATATACTTATATGTATAATAGCAATATTATATACATGATATTTATTTGACTCCAACAAAACAGTTAATAGCGGAGGATTGATGATGATATGCCCGGAATTCCGTGAACTGGAACGCAGACTATCTTGTTCGAAATACTATGAGCCAACAGTGATCAAACAAATTTCCTTGGGAAAATATTTGTAGATGAAAACTCTACCTATATCCGGTGCGATAAGAGCTGGATAATGCACCTGGGTCATCACACGAATAAAACTTTCGGAATAAGTTCTGAGTATCAACTAGAGGAGCGTAAATGGCAGGTAAATTTTCCTGTAGAGCAAAGCGGTCAGACTTATCACTGGTAAACACACAAATTTCTCTTTTTATTTGCACATAGAGACTCTGTGATGCGATCCAACTTCCAGGATGAAAGTATAATGTACGTCACAGAGAGGATTCAGAGATGGATCTAAAGAGGTTGTTCTACAAAATCAGCGGAATAGCTTTCAACGAGTAAGGGATCCATGAGTAAATTTTGCTGAACTTTTATACCAATGTTTGTCAACCGCATTGCAAATGTGAATTTTTAATTTTTATTTCAGATCATTTACACCAGAATTTCGAATACTTACACAAGTGAACCTGGAAACGACGAACAAATGGTCTTTCTAGTTTTGCAAACATTTCAATAAAAATTAGGTTCACATTAAATGGTATTCTATTGCTCATGACCTGATCGAGATCACGCTATAGTTATAGCTATAGCTATAACTCTCGCTAGTACCCTTTGCAAAGTAAGAGGTTGGTGTAATCAAGGTTGGGTACATAAATTTAAATAAGTATAATTTGTGCTTCGGGATTAAAGAGTATTTAATTGTGGAGAAAATGAAAATATGTGCACCTTCGGAGCCAAATATTTTTACGATCTTCATCCGGGCATCCGTCATTTGGGTCCTTTTGGACACTCAAAGAATAGTAAAGTGGATCATCAAGTGGATACTCAGAGTTCTGACAGCTGTCCCATAGTCTACATCGATCTGTGCGTCCCACAAGGGGAACCCACGGTCTGCAGGTAACGTTCATGCTCCATGCGTTTATATACTCACCGTTGACTCACCGGTGAGTCACCGGAGAGTCACCGTTGCGTACCCTATTGAACAAGCTCGGTTACTGTCGGGGTCAATAAAAATTGGTATCCATAGTCAAATTATCAATTTATAGCGATTTAAGCAGTTAGTCTCTGAATAAAAGTAACTAATAATAATTTGTGTCGAATTATCGTGTTTTCGTATAGGTACTTCGCTGCCTATGCAAAAGTTATCAAATGTGCAATTCATTAAATCCTACCTGTGCTTACAATTATTTCGAAAAGCTACCGCTGTGTCTACTACGACATTCAATTTAACGCATAAGCTTACTTTTTAAACCGGAAATTGTTCTTTATGACGCTGTTCACTAACATCTACCGGTTAATACCCATTGCTGTTTTGTTTCCGCAGTACCGCATAATTTTTATTATTATTATTATTATTTTCAAGAAGCATCATTCTATAAAAATTTAAATATCCAAAATTAAGTAAAATACAATAGTTTCGCATTTTGCATTTAACTTTGGAACTGATGTAAAATAGCATATTAAAAAGTAGATTTTTTCATCAAAGTAACTTTATTTATCTACGATACACATAGAGGAATTGAAAAAAAATACAATTTCTCAACTATTTTTACACAAAGAATCCGATTTCTGAAGAGTAAATTCATTGAAACCCGTATCTCGATGAGTTTTTATTAATATATTATGATATAATATAAAAATATATTATTATATTTATCAAAAAGTGATATATTGTAATACTGAAATAATAACATTACATTGTACTATATTTATATTATTTTTTGAATCTCTTAAAGGATCACATTATCAATATTGTATAATATAAATATTAATATTGTAAACACTTAACTGATTCAAAAAATAACACAGCATATTTTATATTTTTCTATTAACCGAAATTCAATATTGAAAAAATTAATTCGTTTATAAGAGTATGCTCTCATACATAAGAGTATAAAAGTTATTTATTCAAAAGTCAATGATCATTGATGTATAATTAAAGTCGACTTAAATTATTTTCTCCTTAATCACATTCAAAATCGCAGTCTACTGACGTACTTACCAGTCGTTGGATTGCCAACCGCCCATATGCTAAGGTCGCTTTTGTTGGATCTATATGTGGAGGAGGTTCCAAACTGATGCGAGCCAACGCCATACTTAAATTGTTGCTCAACGATTTCTATAGCAATTCAACGGTTTAAACAAGATTCAGTTAAGTTCCCCTTTGACAGGACATGAAATGGCTACGACGAATCAAACGTCCAGAGATCTTCGGTTGGTGCGAATAGGTCTGGCACCCACCACTGTCGAGAGCAATCCGTTATTTACCTGCGGTACGTCAGCGCTTGTGAAATTTTTGACGCCCTCCGCTAAGTTCTGCGCTACGATCGTAAATTTAAAGTTCAATTGTCGGAACTTGACACTTGATCAGGTTATAAACTATTTGAGGTTCCGATATTCCAATCTAAATTTATTTTCCAGTGTTATGATCAAGGAGCATTTGGATTGCGGATCAAGACGCCGTGCATATCCAATTTATCTGTTTAGCTTAGTTTTTATGTGCATTTTTTAGCATGTCATTTTTTCATCACTTATTTGCGTTTCACTCATCTGTTTTTGCCCAAATGCGACACTTTAGAATGACGCGCGTATCGTACCCATGTTCGAAGAGTAGTTGCGGGAAAAAAGTGGTCAAAGATTTTGAATATGAAACCCGAAAAAGTTGGGTGCATGCTCACGAATAAACAAAAGTCACTGTGTTTTCTACTCCCATAATAACTGGCTATAGTGGGTGTGTGTTTAGCAGGTTCCATTGCGTGATACCGGTAACCTAGAAAGCTCGCCGTAACGAAACACGGGGAGTCAATACGGACCAACTCAACACACGCCCTCGGATACGGAATCGTGACGAAAAGACAGAGACACCGGAAAACACGTATATTTTCACGCAGCCAGCGAAGCAATAACTTACATAACCAAGAGAGGGGAACAATCAGTAAAACATTCGGCCGGTTTGGTGTTGTCGGGGATAGAACCCGCGGCCTGGTATTCGTGGATATCGTCCGGGTCTGTGCATGTCTGTAAATGGAGCAACAGGAAGATGAAATTACACGCGGTCTGTTCAAGCACCCCGTTACAGTTTCCAGGGTGTCACATGTGAACAGTTTAAGAATGTTTCAAGGTCAGGCTAAGCAAGGCAGTTCAGTTCAGTTTGGTTCCAGGACGTTGACGGCGGTGTGACAGTTAGTCCAGTTTCTTGCAGCGGTGGGCTCCAGGGATTCCCCAATGCTGCGACAGATGGAAGAGGGAGATGACTCTTCTTCAATGTTGCGAGCAAAAATATCAGGAGAGTTGGGTGTTGACCTCCCACTCTCGCGTCACATTCCGGTCACGCCTAATAGATCAGGGCAGTAGACCCAGACACCGGCATCAAGCAAGTTACAATGCCGGCCGAAAGGGATGGGGAGTTCCAGTGGTAATTTAGTGATCGTGTAATGGTGACGGTACGGGAATATGGTATTCACAGAATAGAAGATAGTAGTAATGGATAAAGAGTGAGAGAGTAAGTGAGAGAAGGTCGGGGAGAAGCAGGGAGTGGATCTTACGGACAATCGCGTTGGTTAGGCGGTTTCTTAGGTGAAAAAGCCTTGCCATACGGAGTCCAGGAGGGTCTTGAAGCTCTTCACCGAACTGGAATTAACTACTTCATTAGGTAATCTGTTCCAGTCGTTCACCACCCTTATGGCAAACGATATCTGCCTTATGCGGGTGAAAACCCTGACCTTAGCTAACTTTAGGTTATTACTCCTTAACATTGAGTTCTCGCTTGGAGGTAGTAGTAGTCTCCCTTCTTCTCCAATGTCATATAAACCCTTTAGAAGTTTGAAAGCCTCAATCAGGTCTCCTCTCCTTCTTCTTCCCGGCACTGGGAAGCGCTCGAGCCTCTCCAGCCTGTCCCCATATCTAAGATTCCGTATTCCTGGGAACCATCTGGTGAACTACCGCTGCGTCTTTTCGAGTACTTTTATATCCCCAGCTAGATATGGGCTCCAGGCCTGGACACAGTACTCCAGAGAGGGAAAAGGCTTTGTACAGTGGTAGTACAACCTCCGATCTTCTGGAGTTCATTGCTCTCTTAAATTGGTAGTGAGCTCCTAGTGCCTTTCGTGCCGCTTGTCGGCACTGTGCACTTGGTTTGAAATCAGCCTGGATCTTAATACCAAGATCATTGGCCTCCCTCACTACATCCCGTTCACCCCCAGTGCCTGGTGAGCCGAGACGTCTACCCTGCTCTTCGTCCTGCTGAGCGATGAGTCTCTGGCATTTGCCGATATTTAGCAAATCCCATAGCTCAAACCATTCGTAGATCTTGCTGAGATCACTGATTAGTCTCGGACTTGGGGTTGCCTATCAGCTTTGCGTCATCACAGTAGAGGAAACATGGGTTCTCCAAGCACCACACTAAATCACTGATATACAGAAGGAACAGTAGTGGACCCAGAACCGACCCCTGTGGGACCCCATTAAGGAGTTCTCCTTTGTGGGATACTTCCCCCTCTACCTTAACCTGGAAGCTCCGACCCTTTAGACAACTACATATCCACCGCTTCCCACCTTGGGACTTAGCCCAAAGGGCCGAAGCTTCATCACCATCAACCTGTGGTTGACCGAGTCAAAGGACTTTTGAAAGCCTAGATAGCAGACTTCCACCCTGACTCCCCGGTCAATCTTATGCGTTACCTCGTCAAGGAAGCACAGCAGGTTGGTTAGGCAGGATCGTCTCCTCATGAAGCCATGCTGATGTGCGGTCAACATCTTGGTTGCTTCCAAGTGTGTGACTATTTTGTACCGTATGATTCGCTCCATGGTTTTTAATACCACCGAAGTCAAGTTGATGGGTCGGTAATTTGTGCAGTTCTCTCTATCTCACCATTTGTATATTGGAGTGACAGTTGACACCAACCAGTCACTAGGGAGTCGTCCTTCCTCCAGTGATGCATTGAACAGTCGTGGAAGCTGTTCCACAAGCACGCTCGCCAGTTGTTTTGATACCGCTGGATGCTGCTGGTCTGAACCCGGGGCCTTGGATATCATCAGTCTCTGTAGTAGCTCTTCTACGTTCGTTGGTTCTGTGTACACCTCTGGCATGGTCAGCTGCGTGCGAACTCCAACAGACCTATCTGAGGCACCTAAATCTCTCCTATAGATGGCCTGATAGAAGTGGCACAGGATGTTGGCCTTCTCAAGGCTGGTTACTGCTGCTACTCCATCGTCAGCCCTAACACATCCCACAGCCTCTCTCAGCGCAGTTTTTGACTGCACGTAAGTGAAGAGGGCTTTGGGGCGGGTTTTCGCATTTAAAGCCAATCTCTCCTCATACCAGCGTCGGCATTGATTTTGCACCCTGGACGCTGTTTTTCTCGCCACTTTATAGCTCAGGAATTCGCGATGTGTTTTGGTGCGCCGATATTGCTGCCAAGCTGACTGTTTCCTCTGGCTGGCTTTTCTAACCCTGCTACTCCACCATGGTGGAGCGTCCCTGCGTCTGACCTTTGATCGTTAGATCCCCACCCTGGACATTCGAGGTAGCAATCTTAGAACCTTCCCTTTGTTCATGATGGTTAGCTATCAATGGTACAATCACACCTCCTACCCTGTCCTCCGGCCGGTCTATTCTACTGCTTATCGAATAATTCCTCGGTATTCGGCATCTAATGTCATCCCACGAGTCTAGCCATGTTTCAGTTATCACGATGGCGTCTGCTGCAGACGCGCGAGCCTCCACTTCTGTCCACTTCTTATATACACTTGCGGCANCCTGGTTCCTGGGGGAAAAAGCCGGTCGCTCGGGACTCATACCCGAGCGCTGCATCCGTTTTCTGGGACACCCACCTGTGTCCCTATCCTCGCTTGGATAGCACCCCCATACCGATGTCCTGGCTAAGCCCTAGTCGGCGTGCTAGTAGCTGCTAGTTTTCTTACCGATCTTCTCAGCAGCGCTTCCGTGCCCTGCGGAGTCCCCATCTTGCTTCCAGTCGTTGCTAGTCTGCTTATGGGGCTCCTCGAACTGGGAACCAGTATTTTCGGGGTGATTATTCTAGGGTTGTTGAAACCTAGTGACTGGTGGCCTGTGGCCATACCACTCCTCTGCCGTGTCAGTTTGTCGTCTGAGATTATGATATTACTGTATTGATCGATCTGTGAACATCCTTTCTGTAAAGCCCAGTCATTCCATCTCAGTTCCACATTTCGTGAATTTTACGTTCCATTCAC